TAACCACTGCCACAACCAAAACAGAGAACTTTTCCATCACCCTGTAAAGTATCATGCCCTTTGTAGTCCCCAGACCACCCTCCTCTGACACCAGTGAGCTGCTGTCTGTGGTGCAGACTAGTTTGGCCAGTGGTGGGATTTCATCAAAATAGAGCCACCCTGTGTGCACTTTTGTGGCTGACTTCTTTAGAATGTGCAGAAATGGAAAATATATTCCAGAATAAATTAAATCTATAGAACTTCAGAAGGGGTAGGAAATCCTAAACTTTGTAGATCTTAGTAACTGACTAATGCCCACACTTTTTTTTCTTTTAAATTTTGCCTGAATGTTCAAGTAGGTTTACGTCTTCTTGGGACAGTCTGTCCCTTGCCCCCACTGTCAGACTCTCTCTTGTGCTTTTTTTTGTTTTGTTTTAAACAAGATCTGCTGCCTAATAAGGAGTCCCTGTTTGGCATAGTTAAGCACTCAGCTGCTAACTGAAAGGTTGGCGGTTCATATCATCCAGAGGCACCTTAGAAGAAAGACCTGGCGATCTACTTCCCAAAAATCAGCCATTGAGAACCCTATGGAGCACAGTTCTACTCTGACACACGTGGGGTCGCCATCCATGGGTTGGAGTGGACTCAATAGCAACTTGTTTGGTTTTTGGAGGGGTTTTTTTTTGTTTTGCTGCCTAATACCAGATTTTTTCATTCTTTTTAATTTAACTTTTATTAATATTTTTATCAAAAAGCTGAGTACATGACTTTAAAAGTCAAATAGCAACGCAAGCTTGAAACGAGAAAGCACCCCCGCACCCCCGCCATGGGTCGTAGTCCCTCCCTGACCTCACACATCAGTGTTAACACCTCAGATCTTGTACCAGTCCCACATCAGTGTTAACTCCTAGAATCTTGGTCCCCCGGGCCGAAGTCAGTGTTAACTCCTTTGGTCTTGGTCCTGGGTACTCACATCGGTGTTAACCCTGGGGTCTTGGTCCCAGGTTCCTCAGGTTAGTGTTAACCCCTCAGGTCTTGTCCCCTCCCATGTCAGTGTTAATCCCGTGGGTCTTGTCCCAGCTCCCAAGTCAGTGTTAACCCCTCAGGTCTTGTCCAAGTCCCCACCTCATTGTTAACTCCTGTTCTGGTGACATTTTCTCACTTCTAAGTCCTGAGCCTACACTGTTGTTACTTGAGTTTTAAATTTTAGGCTCTACCCACTCCCCCCCCC